AAACAGTTTGTGTAAGGCATAGGACATATGCAAAACCAAATATTGCTGTGTGCTGCATCGAAGTTTGAAGGGGCTGGCACTCCCTTACTTCTTATTGCCTTGCACCTCTCTGCCAGAGGAGGACATGGCACTGCAATTTATAGAAAGGCATAAAGCTACTATGAAAAGGGGTAACTGCTTTTTCTCATACGGCCATCACCTGGTCTTTTGAAGATAAGGTAAGGTTGCATGAAAAACAGGTAGCCGTGCATGAGTCATTCCCTAATACGTACCTCCTTCAAAAATCCAAAACATTCTCAAGATGTCCTGAAATAACGAAAATATTCTTGTCCTGTAGGGATTGCCACAAGACTGGCTCATATATTTGAGTCCATTTAATGCTGTTAAAATATGTAGGTCTCTGTAAGGACATTATAAATACTGGCTTGAATAGTGTAACAGTGGAACACAGATTTAATAAGTAAACCGCAAATCAAGTGCAATGTTATCGATGCAATGGTAATAATATTAATATTAATAAATATATTTTTAACATGATTATAATAGTATTCTTTAGTTTCTGCATACAAAGTAACTAATTGCGGTGATTAAAAGGGAGTGCACAGGAAGGCAGTGAGGTATATTTATAACAAATGCAATCTAACGAATTCTCCTACTGAGCTGCAAACGAAAGCTGATCTATTAACATTACAAGGTTGGGCAAAAATAGCAAGACTAAAATATTTGTTTCAATTAATTCACAGTGACATATACATCGACACGCCAAAAGTAATTTTTTCAGTCATTTTAAGTTACCACATTGCAGGCACTCATAAACACTTAATAAATGCACTTCCAAATCAAATTGCTATAAATATTCATACTTCCCACAAATAATAAAAAAATGCAAACCAAATAAGTCCTTTTAGTACTAATGCCTCATCTTTCGCTGTGTCCTTAGATATGGTACAAGCGTCACGCGTAACCGAGAGAAGAGACGAGAAAGAAAAGAAGGCAGTATTTACCGAAAAGTATAATAGACAGCGCTTTCTTAATAATTACATGGAAACTGCAGTTGGGTAAAGATAACTAGATGACGCTGTATCCCTAATCTCTAATTGGCTGCATGGGAAGGCTGTGCCTAGGTATGCATAGAACGAGTAGATCTCTCAGTCTTCTGGACAGTCACCACACGTAGTGGATCGTTGGTGGGGCACGAACGAAGCAGACTGGCGGGCGGTTGAAGACACTTGTGCTCGGCTTCCTTGACACGCGTCTCAACGGTGTTACCCGTGCGCCATCTGCATTCTCGAACGCAATTTGACGCATAGACGCATGCACGGACGGACGCTTCACCCCACTCATCATCAATCACTCCATGAATATGCTGTGTTTTTTCAATTTTATTTTTTTCTTCTGGGATAATAAAACAATTATTATTATTTTTCCTCATTTTAACTTGCACATATGTTGTAATACCACTACTACTATTATATTCTAACAAAGCTTATTCAGCAGTTCGGTACATCTACATCGCCCTACATTTCATACTACACTATGCAGTATAGATTAAAAATACGCTTCAAAGTTAGACTCGACTTATTTACTCATAAATTGTGCCATTCTCTTGATGCAGTGATTCATAGACTGAATTATTTTAGAATTTTCTAACACATTTGACAAGGTCAGTCATAAACATTTACTTTAAAATTAAGCCATCTGGACCTTGGCACTAACAAAGTTTAGTACTTTGGATGCTTCGCATGAAGTTGAACTCACTTTGTGCTCGGTTAAGCCCAGCTTATTTCTCATTTTAACTGGCAATGGCCCTTCCTTTTTATCATCGAAATTTTGTCATGATTTGCAGACAAGGGTGATGTCATTTGGGAAATTACTAACAAACCCTATTTGTACCACATGTTATAGATATATTGCTAAATAAAAGTAGAGTGGAATTAATCTGAAACTCCAGTACTAACTATAAAGTTAGCAATGCTAACCACATGCTTGGCTTTTGCCAGAAATGTCGCACCACTCCTTCCTTTCTTGATGTTAACGTACAACCAAACCGAAACATGTGCACGCATGTGCCTTTAACACGTTTTTTTAATAGATTTGTCCAATGCCTATGAACAAGCCTTACCAATGCCTTTTGGCCTGTTTGACCTTTCTGGGCCGCCGATGCACTGTAAGGGCATAAGAAAACTTGTGGGTTCTAAAAGTGACTTGTCTCAAGACTTTGCAATATGATGGTATATTCAAAGTGATAAAATACTGAAGTTGATTATTGAGTTAGTTGTGGTGTCTTTTATAATAGTATGCCTACTTTGTGAAAAAGAAGCAAGCATGCAAATTAGTAAATTCATAATAAAACATAATGACATCAGTGCAAGATTGGTCATTGAGGTAACTCACCTGTAGTTTGATGGTAATTATGAAATATGAATGTTTAATTATCTTGAGTTTTATTGAACTAGCATTTAGTTTATGAATAACAGTATGCTAAAGAGCATGTACATATTCTTGTTTGGCTGTACAACAACAGCGTTAGGAAATATTTATAAAGAATGAGTGGTAAAAAATTTGTGGCACAAGCCAAGAACATTATTTATTTATTTTTATTTATTTGTACAATACTGCGAACCTTGAGAGGTCCAAGCAGGAGAGGGATGTACACATCCAGAAGACATGCGTATGGATGCAAGATCGACACATGAATGTGAGGGTACATAATCAAAAGGTAAGTATACAATCATTATACATTGGATGACAGCAAGGGTGAACACTCTGGCAAAACATTCCAATCGGAAACAGTTGTGGGAAAAAATGAATATTTGTATTGGTCAGTACGGGCAAAGAACGGTGTAATACTTCGGCTATGTTTGTGACGAGACGCTCGACTAGGGTTATTAGCTATGTAATCTTGTGACTGGATTCCCAATTTATTAAAATATAGCTGGTGTAGAAAGTTTAGACGGGCACTTTTACGTCGGTTGGCCAATGGCTCTAGGTGTGCGAGCTCCAACATAGCTGAAGGGGAGTCGCGTCGTCTGAAACGTTTATAAATAAAGCGAGCTGCCAATCTCTGAATTTTTTCAAGCTTTTCTTTATTAGTGATAGTATGGGGGTCCCATACAATGCTTCCGTATTCCAGGGTGGGTTTTACAATGGATTTGTATGCAATGAGTCTAAGCGACGAGGGGGCATCACCTAATTTATGCTTCAGAAATCCTAACTTCTTTCTCGCGGAGGAACATATGTTATTTATATGTGTTGACCAGTTAAGTCTGGACGTCAAGGTTAACCCCAGGTACTTATGTTCCTCCACTTGTTTAATCTGATAATTGCCAAGACTATACATGAAGTGAGATTTATTCTTATTGGAGATGCACATGTGAACTGTCTTGTCGAGATTTATAAGCATATCCCATTTATTGCACCATTCCGTTATTGCATGCAAAGCATGGTTAAGAACGTGCTGGTCAGCGGCAGACACTATGTGGCTAAATATGATGCAATCGTCTGCAAACAGCTTGAGGCGTAGAGGGGGCTTTACAATTTGGCCAAGATCATTAATATAAATGTTAAATAGAACCGTTGCCAAGACCGAACCCTGTGGGACGCCAGAGAAAACATCAAGAAAACGAGAACAGGCACCGTCAATTTCAACATACTGTTTGCGGCCAGTTAGGTATGAAATGACCCAATTGACGACTTGTGATGGAATGCCTAAGTTTTTCATTTTTGTTATTAGTTTCGAGTGTGGAACTCTATCGAACGCTTTCGAGAAGTCTATTAGAACTGCGTCAATCTGTCCGCCCTCGTCAAGTACCTGTGCCATCTCATGGACGGTAACTACTAATTGAGTTGCAGTTGAAAAACCTCTTCGAAAACCGTGCTGTACGTTAGTAAGAAGATTATTGTTGTCAAGAAAATCATTTAGGTGTTTAGCAATTACATGTTCGAGAACTTTACAAACTGTGCAAGTGAGAGATATGGGTCGGTAATTTCAATAATCGGTGACAGAGCCTTTTTTAAAAATTGGTTTCACTCGGGCAACCAACCATTCAAGTGGGAGGCAAGAAGTTTCAAGAGACTTAGAATACAACTGTACCAAGAATCTAGCTAGAGCTCTGCATATCTTTTGAGAAATGCGGTGGAATTTAGCATTGCTCACTTTGTAGTCAGCCTGGACATTTGAGAATAATCTAACAGACATCTGCGCAGCCAAGTATTTGAAATTACCGAAGAATTTTCAAGGGACGACTACATAATAATTGCTCCTGCATGCATGAGCTCGTGTCTCTCAGGTTTCATACATGTGCTTCGTTATGGCAGAGCGTGGTGCAAATACACCCAATGGTTGAGGCCACTGTTGGGTACACATGTTGTGCAGCAAAATGACTTTGAAATAAACTTCAATACAAAATGTTTCACTGCTATTTCCCAGTTGATCTAATACTTTCATTGCAATATACAAACAAGTACATCAAATACTGGCTGCATGCCCCTTTGCAGTTATGATAAGGACTCTTAGCAAATTTAAAGTAGAAATTGAGTGTCTTGTGAAAACATCAAACACTTAAAATCTACAGAAGTGCCAAGAAAAATCTACAGAAGTGTACAAGTGTAGCACTAGCTCCTAGAGTGAAGCAGCCAGCTTCGCTCTAGGAGCAAGTGTTATACTTGTACTTTATTTGTTTTTTGCAAAGTAGTTGTAGGGTTCACATATCTATATTTTCAAGAAACATGAATGTTACATGTGTAGATTAACTGATGGCCAGGTGTTAGTGACTACCGTGAATAGTAAGCCATCAGGCCCGCGAAGAACACGAGAACAAGTTGAGCCCTTAGTCCAGAAAGAACTGTGGTTTATTGTTTCCAAAACGGCCAACCCGCCGCTGTGCCAGGTTTGCACAGCTCAACACAACTATCAGCGCCGCGTGGGGGCGCTGCATTTGTACCAACGTTGTAACACTCCTCCCCTTTTAGTGGGAAGAGCAGGGGGAGTACCTATTCACCGGTTTCCTAGTTCTTGTGCCACGTCGCAACTTCGGCGTGCTAGGTGTCGGCACGACAGAGTCACTGTTCACATGCACACCACTGTTGATCGCAGTCCCATCGCTCTCCGTGGCACAGCTACTCCTAAAGCAGCTAGTTCCAGGTAGCTCTTCCTGATGAGGCACTTCTGGAACAGCTGGCGAATGATGTAGCGGCGGCTCCAACTGTGGTGGAGCTGCAGCGTTAGCAGTTTCAGGAGAGCCCAATGTTTCTGTCTGCACAGGGCGCAAGTGGTTGCTGTGTCGGTTTCCCAAGGTGCCATCTTCAAACCAGACACTGGCTGATGATGGAGTGACGTCCACGACACTGGCAGGCACCCAGGGTGTGCCCCTGCGAAAGTTTCGCGCGTACACATCGTCACCTGCCCGCAGTGATGGAGCCTGCCGGGACCCCCTGTCAGCATACAACTTCTGCTTGAGTTGTTTTAGGAATACAGATGCCTGCAGGATTGTCCTGAGGACATACAACAGAGTCTTCAACATTCTTCCTGTCAAGAGGTCACACGGTGGCCGACCTGTCACTTCATGTGGTGTGGCCTTACAGTGGAACAGAAATCTGAAGATCTGCGTTTGGCAGTTCCCACAACCAGACTTCTTGAGTTTGTTCTTCACTGTTTGTACAACTTTTTCAGCTGCACCATTTGGGGCAGGGTGATACGGTGGTACAAGCATGCGGCGTATTCCATTTGGAGTTAAGAACTCAAGGTGCTGGGCACTGGTGAAGGCAGGACCGTTGTCTGAAATTATGACATCAGGCAGGCCATGCTGAGCGAATGCAATTCTCAATGCAGAAATGGTAGCTTCTGCAGATGTGGAAGACACAGGAAAGACTTCTATCTACTTTGAGAACGCATCCACAATAACCAAGAATGTGTGACCTAGAAATGGTCCCCCAAAATAATGTGAAGCCTTGAGCAGGGTCGTTGTGGAAAAGGCCACGGCGTCTGCTGAACCGGCTGTGCAGCTCGATGTTGAGTCTGGCACGTAGCGCAGCTCTTCATGCTGTTGGCGGTATCATTGTCAATGCCTGGCCACCAAACATGGCTGCTGGCAATGATGTTGCTCTTCTCGATACCCGGGTGGCTGGCATGAAGAACATCAAGAACTTGGGCCTGCAACGACTTTGGGATCACTACTCTTGATCCCCAGAGTAGGCAACCCTCATGGAGACTGAGTTCTGAGCTTCTGGTATTGAAATGGTTCCACTCTGGTCCTACTGGGAGGCTTTCTCCTTTCAGAACAGCAAGCACAACATGGCCCAGAAGTGGGTCATTTCGTGTGGCTTGAGCCACAACACCTGGTGAAAGGAGTCTCGGATATGCCTCCTCTAGCAAGATTTCAGCAGGTCGTGGTAATGCAGTAGTGTCAGTTGGGAGAGGCAGTCTACTAAGAGCATCAGCGTAGCCGAGCTCTTTGCCAGGCTTGTATACAAGTTAGGTACTTGTAAGCAGACAGCTTCAGAGCCCACCTGACCACTCGAGGCGAAGCTTGCACGGGAACGGGGTTGTTGGCACCCAGCAGTCCAAGAAGTGGCTTGTGGTTAGTGTGTGCTTCGAATGAGATGCCCCACAAGTACTGCTGGAACCGATACACACCAAACACTAAAGCCAGTGCCTCCTTATCGAGTTGACTGTAGTTTTGTTCTGCTTTTGACAAGCTCCTCGAGGCAAAAGCAATAGGATGTTCCACGCCATCAGCCTCTTTGTGCGCCAGAACTGCACCTATACCATAAGGCGATGCGTCACAGCTGAGGCAAACAGGCCTGGCAGGGTTGAAATGCACAAGAACTGGAGCTTATGTCACCAAGTGCTTGCAGGCATTGAATGCATCTTGTTGTTCATGTCTCCACTCCCACTTCTTTCCTTCACAAAGAAGTGCAGGGGACGAAGGAGTGACGAAAGATTTGGTAAGAAGCGCCTGTAGAAGTTGACAATTCCCAAAAAAACTCTGAAGTTCCCTGACATCCTGAGGCACAGGAGCATGCAGAATGGCTGCTACCATGTCAACATTCGGGGAAAGGCCTTCCTTGCTGATGATGTGCCCGAGATACTCAACTTGCGGCACGAAGAAATCGCATTTTTCAAGTTTCAGCTTGAGGCCTGATTCCTGAAGCTTGCTAAGTACAGCACGAAGGTTGCGAAGGTGCTCAACATCATTTGCGCCAGTCACAAGAATGTCATCAAAATAAACTGCTACATGGGGCAGTCCTCTGAACAAGTTCTTTATCTCGCGCTGAAATATGGCAGGAGCAGATGAGACGCCAAAAGGCTACTGGGTGTACTGAAATAACTCCATATGCGTCAAAATTGTGACGTACTCCCTAGAGGCCTCGTCAAGGACAACTTGCTGGTACGCATCTCGAAAATCCTATTTTTTGAATTTCTCACCTCCAGCAAGCACAGTCCACAGGTCCTCGATCCTTGGAATGGGGTACTGCTCCACTGTTGCCACTGGGTTTATGGTGACAACAAAGTTTCCAGAGATTCTGATGCGTCCATCCCTTTTGGTCACAGGAACAATAGGTGCAGCCCACTTCGCTGTCTTGACTGGAACAAGAATGAAATCTCTTCTTAGTCTAAGGTTTTCTTGAGTTACTCTATCTGTCCAGGCGTACGGCAGTGAACGTGGCTTGAAGAACCGAGGCTAAGCATCTGCAGGAACATGTAGAGAAGCTTTAGCACCCTTGAATATACCCAGGCCTTCTTTAAACACTTCGGCGTAGTCTTGGACTAGGTGTTTGACGTCGGAAAGTGCGTGAATGTTCACTTCAACGTCGCAGACGCCAATGCCCAGGTCACGCATCCTGTTGCGTCTAAGAAGAGTGGGCGAACCGTCTCCGGTCAGAAAATTAGGTAGGTCGGCTTCCCTGCCATGAAACTTCCCACTGACATCAGCTTTGCCCTGAACCTTTTTTAGTTCCCCGGAATAGCTACACAGAAGCACTTGTGACGGCTGCACAGGAACCGAAGGCAAAACCTTAAGAAGACGCGACTTGGCCATGACAGATACACTTGCCGCCGTGTCCACTTCCATGCGGAGCGGCTAGCCGCAAACGTCAACAGTGACAGTGAAAGGCGGAGGCGGTGTGGCGTAGTAGACCAGCCACATGTCAAAAATTTCGTAAGATGAAGTGGTAGCGGCGTCCTTCTTGCGTACCGTATTAACACGATGACGGTTACTCGACGATGTTGAACTGCAAGCCGTGAACGAACGTCTTTGGTAGGGCTGTCGCTTTGGGCTTGGCTGTCTCTTCGTCGCAAATTGCACACCTTCGCCAAATGACCTCGTTTGTGGCAGTAATTGCGGATTGTCTTTACATGCTTGCATTTTGATGCAAGATGTCCATCCCCACAGTGGTAGCAGGTGACGCCCCCAGAACCTGACGTGACACGGTGAGTCGAGAAAGCGCTGCTTGTGTTCGCTTGCGCTATCTCACCTGCGTCCCTTTTTGCTGCTTTCGTTGCCAGGGTGGTCTGCACAGCGTCGTTGAAGGTGAGGTCCAGTTTTTTCAGAAGTCTTGTTTGGACATCCACGTTGTTTGTGCCATACACGACGTGGTCGCGGAGCATGTTTTCGAGTTCAGCCCCAAAGCTGCAGTGCTCGGACAGGCTCTTTAGTGCTGTGATAAAATTGCTGACTGATTCCCCTTCCGCGTGAACGCGCGAGTTGAAACGAAAACGCTGTACGATGGCAGAGGGCTTCGGACAATAATAGCTTCCAAGTACTTGAAGAATCTCGTCTACATTCTTGTCACTGGGCTTGGCGGGCTTGACCAAATTGCGGAGCAAAGCATACTGTGAGCGCGACAAGCGAATGACTCTTTATTCTCTTTGTAATCATCATCACCTGTACATCTTCATCTAGGAATATCATCACCGGCGTGATTGAGCTCGAGCCTGGCCGAATAAATCGGTTCCTCACAAGTGGTGGACTGTGCTTTTCGTTCCCTCAAGTCCTCTCGCCCGCTCTCACTGGAGCTCCGCTCGGGTCGTCACATACAACCCCCTGCCATGGCGGCCCAAGAAAACCCTGACCCATCCAACGTCGCCGTCTTACTGCAGCCACCGCCACCCGCTCCGCCCAACAACACTCGCCTGCGTGATCCACCTGTGTTTTCCGGTCTCCGAGGCGATGATGTCGAAGACTGGATCAAGAACTACGACCTCGTCAGCGATTTGAACAGGTGGGAGAATCCACATAAGTTGCGCAGCGTGCCATTTCACTTGTCCGATGTTGCGAAAACTTGGTTCTGGAACCACCACCCGGATCTTCCCGACTGGGACACTTTCGAGCAGCAAATTCGTCAGGTATTTGGTGCCCCTGCAGTTCGCACTGAGGCAGCAAAGAAGAAACTCGCTCAACGCACGCAGCTACCGGATGAATCTTACACCTCTTATATTGAGGATGTCCTTGCACTGTGCAAGCGCGTTAACACCGGCATGTCTCATAATGACCAAATACGCCACATTATTAAAGGCATTAACACCGTCGCCTTTAACGCCCTCGCCACGGAAAATCCTGCCACCACCCAGGACGTGATAACCATCTGTCAGCGACTTGAAGAGCTTCAGTCTCTTCGCCTTTGCTACGATGCCACCGACGTTCGTTTGCCTGCACCCCTCGACTTGCGTGCGCTTATTCGCGACATAGTTCGTGAAGAGTTGCACGGGCGCTGCTCTTCCTGTGCTCCTGAAGTTACTTTACCTCCTCAAAAAGATAGCTTGCGAGACCCGATTAAACAAGAGATCGCCTCCGCATCCCGTGCGACGTGTTCCAACAGTCCCTGCGTGCGCCAAACGCGCACGTACGCCGAAGTTGCCGCGCTCTCTGCCGCACCCACCGTTTCTGTGCCTACAACAGCAGACCATACGCCTGTGGCTTCGTTATCACCGCCAGTGCGTGCACCACCTTACTACGCACCTCAACGCCCACCTCGACCAATCTGTTACTACTGCGGCTATCGAGGACATATCGCTTGGTTTTGTCGAAGGCGCCAGCAAGACGAGCAACGCGGCTACGCTCCCGAAGAACATCGAAGCTTCCGTCCAACCATGAACTACTTACGGCCACCCCCCGATCGTCCTATTACCGTTCACCGTCACCTACTTACAACACGGACATGCCTGGGAATTCCCGTACGCCTCGCCGCACGTCGCCTTCGCCAGGTCGCCGTTCAGTGTCGCCTCTACAGCCCGCCTCCCATTCCACGAACGTCCACGCGGAAAACTCCCCAATGCAGTTTTAGGAGGGGAAACTGCATCCCTTGGACAGCTAACAATTCCTCCAGAGCGGCCATCGAATTTGATAGTAGTGTTTGTAGAAGGTGTACGTGTTGAGGCTCTTGTAGACACTGGCGCTGCCGTTTCGATTATTCGTGCTAATTTTTGTTCCCGCCTTCGAAAAGTCACCACACCTTAAGGCGGCCCACCTCTACGTGCGGCGACCAACGCTCTCATTCGTCCACTTGCACAGTGTACCGTTCGTGTCTCCATAGAAGGCATTCGTCATCACATTGTTTTCGCGGTATTTCGTGAGTACACCCACGCTCTCATTCTTGGGTGGGATTTCTTGTCTTCTGCGTCCGCTTTCATATCATGTCATCAGCGCCTCCTGCATCTAAACGCCACTGACTCTTCTCCGCTTGAACAAGATGAACGCATCCGCCTTGTCACAAAATCAGATTATGTACTTCGGCCATACATCGAAGAAATTATAAGTGTTAATTGCACCGACATTGTGGATGGTGACGTACTAATTCTTCCTTACGGTCATACCCTACGTAGGGGCATTGTGATCACACCGGGGCTTATTCGCTTCTTCGATGGGTGTACGTACCTTACCGCCATAAATCAAACGCCCGAGTGTGTACTGCTCTCCTGTGGCTCAACAGTATCTTGCGCGGTCGACAGTGAGCCTGTTGCGATTGTTACTCTTCCGAACAACAACCACAACGATGTTCCGAAGTCGCAATCATTGCCATTCAATGCCTCTGCCACACCTGTGTCGCCGACAATAAGCAATGACTTAACACCTGATCAAACTGAAGATTTGCTCGCCCTGTTAAATAGACACCGTTCTCTATTTGACGTGAACTCGCCCGCCCTCAGCATGACTACCACCGCTACTCACAGCATCCAGACTGACGGCTCTCGTATTGTACATCGGCGTCCATATCGCGTGTCTCAGGCAGAACGCAAGATCATCGAGGAAAACGTCTCAGACATGCTACGACGCAACATCATACGTCCTTTCTCGAGTCCCTGGTCATCCCCAGTTGTTCTCGTTCAAAAGAAAGATGGGACAGTGCGTTTCTGCGTCGATTACCGTGCGTTAAACAAAATAAAGCGCAAGGATGTTTATCCCCTCCCTCGGATCGACGATGCACTGGATTCATTACAGGGCGCAGAGTATTTTTCCAGCCTCGACCTTAGGTCAGGCTACTGGCAGATACCAATGTCGGAGTCTGATAAAGAGAAGACCGCCTTTTCAACGCCAGATGGGTTGTACGAGTTCAATGTGATGCCTTTTGGACTCTGTAATGCGCCCGCCACCTTCGAACGCATGATAGACGGCGTATTGCGTGGTTTGAAATGGAAAACATGTCTGTGTTATCTCGATGACATAGTAGTGTTTTCATCCACGTTCTCGCAGCATCTACAATGTCTTGACGAAGTCCTCACATGCCTTGCAAATGCCGGTCTACAGCTTAACACTAAGAAATGTACCTTTGCTAGCAAGACAATCAAGGTTCTCGGCCACCTTGTCAGCAAAGAAGGAATTCGGCCCGACCCCGAGAAGCTTGCCGCTGTCCTCAATTTTCCTCGTCCACTACGTCAGAAGGACCTGCGCAGCTTTCTTGGGTTATCTTCTTACTTCCGGCGCTTCATACGTGGTTTCGCGGAACTTGCGTCTCCGCTCCATCAACTCCTCGCAAAGAACGTCCCCTTCATTTGGTCCGAAGACTGCGAAAGCGCTTTCACGGCATTGAAGCAAGCCCTCACGTCGGATCCAGTACTGTGCCACTTCGATTCCACCGCACCCACCATCCTTCACACCGACGCAAGTAGTCATGGTCTTGGTGCGGTACTCTTGCAGCGGGACAAAAACTCACGCGAACGCGTCGTTGCTTACGCAAGTCGTGCTCTTACCGCTCCAGAAAAGAACTACACTATCACCGAGCAGGAGTGCCTTGCTGTTGTTTGGGCAGTGCAAAGAGTCCGACCATATCTTCACGGCCGTCATTTTACCGTCGTGACCGACCATAACGCCCTATGCTGGCTTTCATCGCTGAAAAACTTATCGGGTCGCCTTGGTCGCTGGGCGCTTCGCTTACAGGAGTATGATTTCGATGTCGCCTACAGATCTGGGAAGAAGCATCAAGATGCTGATGCTCTATCGCGCTGTCCTTTGCCCAGCGGAAGCAATTCACCATCGATACTCCAAAACAACAGCACCTCTCTAATCGCAGTGCTAAGTTCTTCACCTGCCACCCTATCCATCCTTGTTTCACAACAACGTGCCGACCCATACTGCCTCACCATTGTTGACCGCTTGACCGGCTCTACTACTCCTCCAAACGCCAGACTCCGTCGACAACTTAAACAATTTAAGCTTGTCGGTGATGCTTTATGTCGCTACATTTACCACATCGATGGCAACAAGTGGGTACCCGTCATCCCACGTTCTCTGCAACGTGAAGTTCTGGAAGCCTTTTATGATGATCCAACCGCTGCTCATCTAGGCTACCACAAGAATTACGACAAAATACGAAGTCGTTGTTTTTGGCCTGGCCTCTCTTCAGCCGTCGCTAAGTACGTCGCCTCCTGTGTCCATTGCCAACGGCGAAAACGACCGACAACTGCTCCGGCTGGCTTAATGCAACCTCTTCCTTGTCCCGCCTCACCTTTTGAAGTCGTTGGAATCGACTTGTATGGCCCTCTTCCTATATCGTCCAATGGGAATCACTGGATTGTCACGGCAGTCGACCACCTTACCGGTTACGCAGAAACAGCTTCTATACCATCTGGGAATGCCACTGAGATCGCCGATTTCTTTCTTCACCACATCTTTTTGCGTCATGGAGCTCCACGCATTCTCCTCAGTGATCGTGGCAAAGTCTTCCTATCTTCCATTGTCGAGCAAGTTTTGCGTGCCTCGAACACTGTTCATAAGACCACTTCTAGCTACCACCCGCAGACCAACGGATTGACTGAACGGTTTCATCGGACCCTATCGGACATGATCGCCATGTACATTCACCCCAACCACACGAACTGGGATGCAATTCTACCCTTCGTGACATTCGCCTATAATACGGCTGCTCAACGCACTACCGGCTTTTCTCTATTTTTTCTCGTCCATGGTCGCTCGCCGAGTTTCGCTCTGGATGTCTCTTTCCTTTCGGCCCCTGCACCCTCGACGGCTCCTTTCTCTGAAGAATTCCTATCTCGTCTCGCACACTGCCGTCACCAGGCCCGTGTTAACACCGGCCTCTCTCAAGACACTCGAAAATCTCGCTACGACTCGTCTCGCCGTGTTGTGAGTTTTCCCCCTGGTGACGAAGTTCTTC